CTAGCACAGCTCTGCTTGTAATCGTGCCATAAACAGTTTGGCTACCACGAGGGAGTGTGCGTGAGGCTGTGTTTAGCAGCTTCTTTAACGAATGGGTGTCTGGCTTTGAGAGGGGCTTATGTACTGCCTCCTTTTTTTAGATCTGTGTTCTTTCCACTACCCTAATCAGCTGCTGTATAAATCTTGTTTCCTTTTTGAGATGGTTATCCTCATTCGCAAATTAACCCTCTCTCAGGTGTGGGGTTTGGTTGTTTTTGGGGGGGGGGTTAACAAAGGGGAAAATGCATCTGAGGAAACATAATTCCAACTCTTTCCCTGGCCATATTTGCAAAGAATGTTAGAAGCTGCTGATTTTGAATAAGCACAGGGGTTGAATAAGCACTGATTTTGAATAATTTGCAGGTATTTTGAATAAGCACAGGCTTTCGATTCCAAGATTCCTTGGAAGATTTGCCATCACAACTTGCTGATCAGTGTTACACAAACCGATTTGCACAGTGTCATCGCTGAGTCCCTATGGAAGTGGGTTCGATTCTTTTGCCCTGGCTCAACAGAAGCCAGAACCCAGGGAATGTTTTTGTTCACTAAATTGAGTCATTAACACTAACTGTGGAAAAGATGTTCTCCTGATGGGAAGGATTTATAAGAGTAAATCTGTGAGCGTGGGCTCTGTATTAACATAACGTTTGAGTCAGAAGCGGTGTTTTTTTGGAATATGGAATCGCAACAGAACGCGTGTGTGTCCGTGCCTGCAACTGCAACGGCAGCATTTTTCTTCTTCCAGTAATCTCTGGCTTGTTAAGTTGCTCCAGTGCCTCCTCAGCAGACGCATCCCATGTGCCTCACTAAATACACTGCCACATAGGATGAAGCCCGAGAGATTGCTCCTGAGTCCTGAACTTACAAAGCTGGCTTCTGGGTCTTGTTGATCAGGCTAGACATATGCTTAGCTGTGCTTCCCCCATGCTCTTGGGTGACTGCCAGTTTAACAATTGAAATGGTCTACCCATCTGCCACCCCGAGGTCATCCATACATTTCTACAGGGTAAGGAAATTGGGAAGTGTCTGCCTTTGATGCCATTTCAGCCTTTATCTCTGCTGATGGGTCCCTTCCCCCAACTCTGTTCTGTGGTTAGAAGGGTTGGAACAAAGTGGGCAGGTAGAGGGGGGGAGCAGGCAGGTGAGAACAGGGGAAATAATGAATCCCAGGACAGAATGAGGACTGGGATGTAATGAGCCTGCATGAGGAAGCTGAACTTAACCAAGGGGAAGACTGGAGGTGGAGAACAGCTGGGGATGAAGACATCGTGTGTTCTCCTCCAAGTGAAGCTGTAGTCTGAGCTCTTCCTGGGGACTTGAATGCCACATTGGTACTTTCTGCCACCTCTTCAAGGTAGCCTTGCTTACAATAGGTACTAAAACAATAGGATGCTTGATCAGTGGAAGATGGGGTTGGTGGCTATCAAGGGTCAAGGTCAGTGGAAAGCTACTTTAGCTAAGGAGCAGCTAGCTAAAGGCCAAGAGATCAAATCGAGTTCTGTGACCTTATGTGAGGGAATAGGATAAAGGAGTGTTTGGTACTGCTCTTGATGTTGGGGATATAGGGTGGAAAAATAGATCACGTAACTCGAGGAACATTTGAGGTGTGTGTAGATGTGGACTGCAAGGGGAACCTTATCATGCCAGACCTAGGCTGGTCCACGGGGAAAAGGCACCATCCTCAATGATCCGTGAAAGGAGTTCTCTTTGCAGTTTCTCTGCCGGCCTAAGCGTGGTGCGAGTGGAGAGCACTCCTGCATGGGACCATGTGTAACCAGTCTGGAGAGGAGCAGTAACCGTGTGTGGGTCCCGGGACAGCCCAGCTATGTGCATAACAGAATTACTGAGCCGAGAGACAAAAATCTGAATGCTGTCATGGGAGCAATCACTGGTTTCAGTGTCAGTGGGACTTGCCCAAATAGAGTCCCCGTTGCGTGCTGCACATAAGTGCATGGCTTATTTAAATCTTAAATATTTCTAGTTTGCAAGTCTCAATTACTGTATTTAGCATTATAGAGTTGGCTTTAATGGGCACTGCTATTCTCCTTTGCTAGGTTGGGCTGCATTGAAGTGCTTTCCACAGACATCTAATCTGTAAGTTTAAAAGCTGAGGTACTGTTATTTGTGTTCATTTCAGCATATCCTTTTCTCCTCTGTTTTTTTGTGTCTGTTAAGATTAGACGTGAAGTATCTTTACCCCACTGTTTCGCATTCAGTTTGCTTTGCCTCTTTTTTTTCACATAACTGGTGTCAGCTAGATTGCAAAGCGTTGCAGGACCATGATGGGTTATCTGGATGACGTGCCTTTCAGAACGTACAGGAGCTTTGAGGATGGCTCTGCAAAGGGGACCAGTTTAATCAGGCCCCCTGACATTGAGGTTCCTGACTGCACGGAGATCCTAATGAGCACGATGGTAAGTTTGCCTGTCCTCCGAGCCAGGGTCGGTGTCAGCCCACCATACTACTCTGTGGGAAGTGTGGGCTGGTTGGTGTTGGTGTCTTGCTCTGGATTTTGAGCAAAAGATCAGTCAAAGGTGACTACTGATACCATCCATACCACTCCCTTGTATGCCATCAGATACAAAAAATGGTGGGCTTCCATCACGTTAACACAAAGGCTGCTAAGCTCAGGATGACCTTTGATCAGTTAAGTTATAATTGATGCTAAGAATAATTTTTTCTGTCCCTCTTTCTTGCTAATAGAAGTGAAGAAAGAGAAAAAAAAACCCTTGAAATATTTCTGTTCTGAACTTGACACCCATTTTTTCCCCCCAGTCTCATCCAACACCAGACTGGATGGGCAATAGAAATGAGACTTCTCCCTACCGGTGAGCAAGCTGGTAGGGTGCAGCTCAAATTCTTCACCTGGGCACCTTGTCTGCAGAAGAGCACTGTACAACTACCTAGGTAGTATGCACTTACTGCCACAGGTTCTGTCTTCACAGGCTGGCCCTGTTTATATTGCAGCTGAAAACTTGGTTTCTGGTATGGATCCCCCTATTGTCTCTCTGTAGTCTGGGTTTATATCCATGTCCTCAGATGTTTGCGTTATTTCAGGGTGCACAGGTACAGTTCTGCAAGGCTACAATTGACAGAACAAGGAGCAATGATCTCAAGTTGCAGCAAGGGATGTTTATTAGGAAAAACTTCCTCATTAGCAGGGTGGCAAAGTGCTGGAATGGGTCACCCAGAGAGGTGGTGGAATCTCCTTTCTTGGAGGTTTTCAAGGCCCAGCTCAACAAAGCCTTGGCTGGGATGATGTAGTTGGGGATGATCCTGCCTTGAGCAGGGGGTTGGACTGGATGTGACCTCCTGAGGTCCCTTCCAACCCCCGTTTTCTAGGATTCTGTGAATTATTGCCCATGAGGTTTTAACCACAGGATGGGCAGGACTTTTAAGTTAGGTTCAGATGCGTTGCGGGGGCTGTGTTTGTAATGTGTTCTCACCAATAGGTGGAGTCATTGCACTACCTAGCAGAGAAGCCTGCTACTGGTTTTACAGCTGTTTGCCATGGATGTTGAGGCACCTGTAAAACTTTTAAAAATGCCCATACCACCTCTTCACTACTTCAGCCCTGCCCTGCCCCAGTGGCTAAGCAACTCGCATACACCAAAACCGTGGCTGTGGCATTGTAATGCTAATGTGTTATTACAGCAGACGTCCTGATATTTTTCGAAATATTCCTGGAGGAGACTGCAGCATGCACTCTTATGCAACATGTGTGTAATGCTGGGTAATTGCTTGCAGACAGCAAGGTGAGCAGCCTCTTGGGCTGCAAATTGCTATTTGCACAGAGGCCTGCCATCGCCTCCTTGAAACATGTTGGCTTTTGTTTATTCTGGGAAAAATAATGTTCTCGGGAAATGGCAAAAGCTGCAAGACTGGACTCAGGATCAGCACTGACACCCCCCAGTGTGCTGGGGTTTTGATCAGAGGACCTGGGTCCCATCCCCCTCATAACTAACAAATGCTTTACCCTGTTCTCCAAAAGAAATAGAAACAGAATTTGTAACCTAGACGATGGGCTGTGTTTATCCAACCGCTGATAAGAGCTCTAGTTTGGCAAACTTCTGGGCACGTTGGAAGGCCTAGTCTCTCAGTCAGGTCTTCAGACTTAATTGACAAGCATATTTACTTTCTAAAACAAAGTGTATGGAAATGGTCCTTCCACTTCCCTGCCAAGATCCTCTGCCAACTATTCTGTTTCTCCCCTTCAGCAATATAATGGATCATATAAAAATACTTGAGGTAGGGCAGCAAGGTTCGGTGAGCTCAACTCTGGAAGATAGTGGGTTTTTAAAGATTCACAGGAAGATTTAAAAAAAGTTCTGGAGAGGATTCATGTGATTTGCCTGCAGTTATTTCTAAGTGGCTGATACAGTTGCAGGGTTACAGCTATTGGGGCAAATCCCTGGTGGGTGCCAATAACATGCTTCCATTTGCTGCTCCAGTGGAGAGATGCTGGAGCTGCTGGGCACGGTGTCTGAGCCTGAAGCCCTTGCTCATGCCATTAGTCTCCTTGTAAGCAATCTAAGTGCAGGCTGGAACCCATAAAATGTTTTTAAGCAGCGCTGCCTCTGCAGATACTGACTTGCTTTGCTTATTGCTGTTTGGCAGCACGATTTCTCGTTGGAAAGGAAGGTGCTGTATTGGATTGAGGCTGCGTCTAGGCAAGCAACTCTCCAGTGTCAAGTGACCACAGAAGCTGTCCCAACAGCTCCACCTTGCTGGCTGCTTTTGGTTGACTCGAAAGAGAACTTGGGCCTCCGGGTAAAGAAGAACGAGGCGACTGATGGAAAAGCCAGGGACGGCGCGACATTTGGAAACCACGTTCGGCGATGCATGAGCCTCAGCGCTGTGGATGTGAGCTGTGGCCGCCCCAGGGGCAGAGGTGTGCCCTCTGAGACAGAAAGCGAGGAGTGGTACTCGGAAGAGGATGAGTTCTCTGTGGATGATGAGTACTCCTCATCGACCTGTGAGGAAAGTAGCAAGGAGGAAGTAATTGTCCCAAAGACCAAAACCATCGTAAAGGCCGTGCCTCGTTTCCCTCGGCTGGATCAGCGCAGGCCAAAGACTTCTCCAGGGCTGTTAGAGCCACCCTCTGAAAGACACTGCAATGAATCGAATAGCCCCGATCTGAACAAGCAGAGGAGGTCCCTGGTTTTGTTTAATAATGTGAAGAATGAGTTGGAAGGAGCCAGAAAGAAGCTCGCTGCTCTAGTGCACCCTTTGTACAGAGCTTCTGTAGACAAGAAACTCTTGCCAAGACCGTTCTTGCTGCGACGGTGCTCTCGAAGATACGCCCCTGCCTCTGATGGGTCTTTGAAAGGGGCTCTCATCCCGACACCCCCATCCACCCCTTCTGACTACTTGATGCCCCCAGCCACTCCTTGCCCCTACCCAACACCTCCAGCCACACCGTATGATTACCCAACACCCCCAGTCACCCCTTGCCCCTACCCAACACCTCCGGACACCCCTTGCAATTACCCACCACCCCTGGTCACCCCTTTCCGCTACCCAACACCCCCGGACACCCCTTGCAACTACTCAGCACCTTCAGTTATCCCTCGCAACTTCCTGACCCCTCCAGCCACCCCTTGCTGCAGTCGCCGGAAGCTGCCCACCACTAGGTTGATGCCTCCGATAAAAAAACACAAGCCTATAGTTGCGGTAAGATACATTTTTTTGCTACTACGTTCATTTGTGGGTGCTATCTGTACTGGTCCCTTGGCTCCGTGTGAACATGAGTGGGGGAGAGAAGGAGGCAATAGAGTATCTGTAAACAGGTTTCTCAACACTGGAAACGACCAAGAAAACAGCTGGTCTTTGGTATGCTGTGACAGATGTGCCTCTTCGGGGTCCGTCCACTAGTGACCCCGCAACATCGGCTATGGGCCAACCGCCCACCTTCTCGCGTGCCACGCCTTCTTGTTACTTGCTTAATTAGAGGATGTTAATTAAGCAGGAAGCTGCCCATTTTCTGCCCTGATGCCTGGGGCGCTATCTGCGGCTCCTTTCTTCCCCTTACACAGCAGCCCAAGCCTCGCGGATGTACCTGACATTGTTCGGGTCTGTTCCACTCTCGCAACCTGCACCCTACCGGTGCCCTGGCTTATCTCGCAGCCTGCACCTCACCAGTGCTCTGGCTTGTCTCTCGCAACTGTGGCCCTCTGGCACTCGTCAGTCGCTGCCCCCCTGCTTTGGGGCTTCTCACGCTGCCCTGGGGCTCAGGTGGCCGTAGCCATACCTGGCCCCAAATCTCCCCCTCGGGGTCATGAACCCCCTGCCGGGCTCAGGCGGCCTCAGCTTTGCCTGGCCTCCGATTCTTTGCTCCCTTTCTCAGGAGCGGGGTCAGTGCACCCCTGAATGCTGCACCCTCTCTGGTGCCGGGGTCCCCACACTACTGTGGAGCCCCTATGAGGCCTCCTCCAACCCCTAATAGCCTCACCCAGTCCTCCGGTCTAAATAGTGAACACAAAAAAACACAAGCTGCTGGGCTATAACATAAAATCTAAGCCATCCGCCTAAAACCCCATTCAGTTCCTACCAGGGAATTGTCCACCCCATAACAGCAATCAGGAGCAGCTCGTGCAGTCAGGCTTCTCCTCTCTGTTTGCTCTGGCAGAGCTCCTTCTCCCTTGGCTGCCGGTGGGAGACTGCCTGCCCGGCCTCAGCCTGGGGTTATATGGGAGCCAGGCCCTGCCCCTTCCGGTCAGCTGACTCCCACCGGTTACCCTGGCAACCTGCAGCCGGATTCCTTACTTATCGCTCCACAAGGAGCAGGCACCTCAGTGCCCTGCTACATATGCATTGGGACCAAAAAGGCTGAAGTAATTTGTGAGGTATTCCTCGGGTCATTTTTCCAGAGAACTGGTTGAAAGGGTTTTGCTGACATTTTTTTGTGGTGAAAACATGCCTTCTAGATTAAATGAACTTTTGCAAGCCAATTGCCATTTTCATCCGAAAAACACTCCCCTTCAAATATTTTTGGATTTCCCAGGCTGCCAACTGAAACACCTCTCTGTTTTCAACAACTAATTAAAGGTATTTATTTTAGTTTTCAATGAATTCCTGAAACATTTAGCAATAATTTCTCTTTTCTTTGCAAAGATTTTCAGGAAATAAAGTACGTTGCCCAACCAGCCCTGGCTTTCATGCAGCATAAAGCCACCAGGCCCTTCTGGCTGTTCCAGTGGGAGGCTTTGCACTGAATGAGCAGGAAGACTGGGCTGCTTTCTCCTGCTAAATTTGCCTTCTATCATTTCTGTTTAGGGTGGAAGGGGGACTACTGTGAGGATCACTGCCTGCTTTGAACTTATTTTCACATAAACAGAGGGGCTTTGGCTTTCCCAGTTTGGTACCTGCACTAAATTTGTAGTTTAGAAGGGACAGAAATCACTTTGGACTAACTCCACTGTCGGTTTGTAAATTCGAATAATTTAACTGTACAGTAAAGGCCATGGCATGACAAAGGAATCATTGCCATTTGTCCTCTTAAATTGAAATTGCGTGATAGAGTACAATCCTAGCTACTGGAGAGATGAATGAGTTTGTGCTGAAAGCCTACAGTCATGGTGCCCCAAATGCATGGAAGACCATGTTGTTCTCACGTGATGGCTGGAAGTTTCGAGAGATGGGAACTGCAGAGCAATTACATGCCTGTATTTGTACGTACGATGGCTGTTAAATCTAATTGCTAATCTGTCGTCCTGAGCCATCTGACTCTCACTCCAGAAGTCTCACAACTATTCCCACAGGCCCTAGACAGGATGCACATGTCTGAGCAGGAGATTTGTTTCCTAGGACTGAAGATGGCTTCCTTTCCCTCTCCTGCTTACACAAGACACTTACATAAGAGATCACGTGTTCAGACAGTTGATTTTTCCAAGACAGGGCAGCCTTACTGCGCACACCAGCTGGCACTGCCATCCTCTCTTGCTTGGCCAGTCTAGGACAAGTAAAGAGCTGATAAATAGGAACAGGATTCCCTGGATGGTAGAAGCTGGTTCTTACCCATTTACCACATAATCACGCTTGCCTGCTATCTCCTTTGATCACTATCTGCAGCCAGGCCTGGGTTTAATTAAATCTAGTTTCCTTTGAAGAGAGACCTTGTGGACAAATTGTTGTAGGTATCTCGGAGTGATGGTCATAGCCGCGCCAGTTGCTTTGTTTGCTTTTTATTTTGGAAGTGCACTGCTCGGTTTTCCCAAGTTTCCGACCTCCAGGCATAGTCACCTCTGCTCTGTTTAGGTTTCCCTGGAAACATAACAAGTTCTGATCCCTGAAAGGATGCTCTGCTTTAAAAAAAACACGCCCACAAAAATAAATAAATACATAAACTGTAGGATGCATTTGAACAGGATGCGTAACCGGAAGATTCACATGCATGACAGCTAACAGATAATCCCGTATTTATCCAAGCACACGCAGTTGCACACGGAAAGCAAACCGGGATAGTCCATTTATGGACATTTCCCTCCGATTGCACAGTCGAATGAGATTGGACTAAATGACAAATGCCAGAGCAGTGCTTTTAAGTATCTGCAATTACCTTGTTGTTTTGCAGGAGGAGGAAGAGAATTCTTTTTATAGTGTCACATCGTACCAGTGCCTTGTAAGTGGATACGTCCCAATTAGTGAACATAAAGTACTCTTGTTTATTTTTCAGTCCCTCAGCCCCTATTCCTGCCTTCCAGCCCCTTCTGGGGCTGCGCGACCTCTGAGTTCCCACAGAACTCGTCCGGACTCCACGGCTGACCTGCTCTCGGCACTGAGCCAGGAAGAGCGTGACCTCATCGAGCCAGTTTTAGCCTTGGGTTATCCGATCCGCAGAGCTATCCTTGCTCTCCAGAAGACGGGAAGACAGAGTTTAGGTCAGGTTAGTGAAGCTAATATTACTTTCCTTCAGTGGTCTAGAAAACACCTGGTAAGGATGACTCTCCTGCCCTCGGGTTCTGGGCTACCTGGGTGCAGCTCTGAGAAAAAGGTTCAGGAGTTCTGCTTTGGGAAGAGTTGATCGTTTCTCTTCATTGTGAGTAAGAATTAAAGTGATTGAGGGTTTTGCCTTGTGCCTGAAATCCTCAATGAGAATGACTTCCAGCAAGCAATGCTGCCTGGAAGACATCGCCTTTTAAGATCTGCTTTCCTATTTAATATGAAGCCTGATGCTCTTTTACAGCCTAGACATATTTTCCTAGTACAGAAACATTTTAGCGCGGATTTATTTTTCCCCAGTCATGAGGTCAGTAGCATTATCTCAGTGACTTGTCTACTCAGCATTGGACTGTGTCTATCTCTGCGATGTTTTGGGTCCCTCTCCAACACCAAAGCATGAGGATGGCTTGAATATGTACAGATAATGCCTTGACGTTACAGAATATTCCCGCCTGTCATCAGTACATACACAGCACTTATAGTTCTCCTCTTCTGCGTGTGAACCAGAGCCTGTTTTACAGACTTGAATGACCCTTGCCATTGCAAAAGTGCCTGTGCACCTCCTACTCCACTGTATTTCACCTCTCACCACTTCTGAGAGGTGGGGGAGTGCTACTAGCCCCATGATACAGATTGGGATCTGAGGCACAGACTGACTTACCCAAGGCTGCTCAAGAGTTTTGGGACAAAGCAGAGGTTTGAAACCTGAGTCTCCCACAGTAACAGGCTCCCGCTCTCTCTGCTGGGCCATCCTTTCCAAACCTGCTGTAGGTCTAATGCAAGGCTTCCTGTAATCCAGTTTAGCGAGCATTATTTATTCCATCCACAAAGGGTTCGCACTTGACAGAGAGAAAGAAAGGGACAAAGTGTAACCCCTGTTCCATGTATATTTAATACCATTTTGACATCAGGAGTGTGGTCCAGGGCTGCCACCAGCTGTAATAGGAAGGTGCACCCTACAGAGACCTCATACCCTAGTAGGTGGTGCACAACCACTCTTTTACGGCCCCGGAGGGTGGTGGTTATGTCAGTGCCCGGTCCTTTTTTTGAATTCTTCTGAGTCCTTAGCCTCAGTTGTGTTATTGCCTCCTGGCAATGGGTTCCACAGGCAGATTATCCACGGTGGGAGAGAGTTCCTATTGCTTTTTAGATGTTCTGCCTTTCCACGTACCAGAGAATCTGTGTTGTTCTTCAGCATAGGATACTCGCAGGATGCTCTTACTAGTGGCTTTCCCAGCCCTTGGCCTGGTGTTTGCTCCAAAAAAGGGGCAGCAGCTTCCTTCATTCTTTAATTCTGAATTCATCCTTCCACCCATTTTGGCTGTCAGATGCCCTAGCTGTGTTTTGCTTCTGACCACAATGATGAGATTTATAGGTTGCTCTCCAAACTGGCTAGTGAGACACTTGGAATTAAACCAGTGTACAGTGAGATCTGCTTCATACAACACCCAGACATTGGGATCTGGTGGAGGTGGGCCTTTTTAGTGAAGGTCAATCATAGATTTCATAGACGTTAGGGCTGGAAGGGACCTTGGAAGATCATTGAGTCCAGCCCCCCGCCCGAAGGGCAGGAAGTCAGCTGGGGTCATAGGATCCCAGCAAGATAAGCATCCAATTTTCTCTTGACGGTGTTCAATGTAGGTGCTTGAACCACCTCCGATGGCAGGCTGTTCCAGACCTTGGGGGCTGATCATGTGCGTGGCTCTTCTCCGCACTCTCTCAAGCTTCTCCACATCCTTTTTGAATTACGGGGCCCAAAACTGGATGCAGTACTCCAGGTGCAGCCTCACCAAATCCAAGTACAAGGGGAGAATGACGTCCTGGGATTTGCTTGAGAAGCATCTATGGATGCAAGGCAGCGTTGGTTGCTTTACTAGCCGCCGTATCTCACTGCAGGCTCATGTTCATCTTGTGGTCAATGGTGACCCCCAAGTCTCTTTCTTCCATAGTGCTAGCCAGCGTAGCACTGCCGAGCCTATAAGGATGCTGCAGGGTTTTCCTCCCAAGGTGGAGAGCCTTGCATTTTTCGGTGTTAAACACCATCAGGTTCTCGTCCGCCCATTTGCTGAGCCTGTCCAGGTCAGCCTGGATCACCCGTCTGTCTTCTGGCGTGGATGCTTTGCCCCAAAGTTTGGTGTCATCGGCGAACTTGGCCAGTCCGCTTCTGACTCCAGTGTCCACATCATTAATGAAGATGTTGAACAATATGGGTCCAAGAGCAGAGCCTTGGGGGACCCCACTGGTCACATGGCACCACGATGAGTGACTGCCATCAATTACTACCCTCTGGGTCCGACCATGGAGTCAATTTTCTAGCCAGCAGATCATGGTGGACCCAAGGCCACAACTGGCCCATTTCACCAAGAGGTGATCGTGGGATACCAGATCAAAGGCTTTTTTGAAGTCAAGATATACGACATCAATCTCTTCTCCCTTGTCCAGTAGTATAGGGAACCAGAGGGGTACCTTAAGATGACATTGGCCATGGGCTTGTTAATCACGGGCAGACTTGTTCCAGGAGTTACTGCATCTGCTTGTCTTTTCTGTGATTGCTTGTTTCTCTAGCATAGTGATTAAAATAATGAATGAGGGTGTAGACACGTGCCTGAGTGACAGATTCATGGAAAAGGATCCTTAAGATTGATTTATTTTTGGTGGGCTGTTCCATTTGTTATAATGTTAAAATGATAATCACTTAAAGCTTCCCTTGGTAGAAGATGCAGGCACTTGGGCCAGTTTATGTTAAGGATGGTTAAAAACATTCCTGATGCAAGGTGTAACCACTGCTTTGGGAAGACAGAAACATTATAGCTCAGTGTGTATTTAGGTTTTCCTTGCTTGCCTGCCTAACCTTTCCTGGGTGCATTCATATACTTGAAAACCAAGATGGACAACTTGTTGGCCCTAAGCACATACGTTCCTTGGGGATAGGAAAGGTATGCTCTTTCTTCATATTCCCGTGCTGAAGATGAGATGGTGCTGTAAAAGGTTAACGGTTTGCCATGTAAACACCTGTCCTCATTCAGTCTTGAGGTTCCTTTTGGAGATGATAAACTCATCCAAGTTCTGCTAGTCCAGTGTGAGAGTCCCCGAACGGCTCGCTTTCCCTGGTGCACGTTGTAAACATATGCCCCTGTTAATAGCCCGAGAAATATAGCAACCGCTCTGGCTTTTGATGGCATAAAGCAGAGGTACAGCAACACAGCCGGGCACCCGGGGCAGTTGCCATGCACAGGAGCAATGGTGACTTCCAGCTACCGCTGCATAGCTGTGCGTTTCCCCCGCTCCTTTCCCCTCACATCGGTTCCCAGGACAACTGCCCTGCTTGCCCTGCCTTAATTACGCCATTGGATTAAGGTCTTGAGGAAAACAAAGGCAACAAATTATGAGTATAGATGGCAAATCAACTGAGGTTGGAGTCGTTAACAGGGAATGGATTCAGATGACGTGTTTTGATCCTTATTACTGCACTGCTGGAGAAACATGAATTGCACTCTAAAACAAATGAAGGAAAGGGTAACACCAAACAGGGTGTAGCCAAGCAACAGAGAGAGGTTTAAATTGCAGCTAGTCATGCAAGTCATTCAAGCAGCTTGGGATCTAATCCCTTTCTTTTAGATGCTGCCACACTGTGGAACTGGATAAACCACTAAGGACCAGATT